TATAAGGAATTTTCAACTTTTCCGTTTTTTTTAATTGATAAAACCATTTTTGATTTAAAAATTCATATACCTTTAATCCAATTTCATGTTTTTTATTTAAAGTTTGAATTTAGTCTCTATACTTTGTTAGTGTACCACCATAAGTCCGTGTAATTTTTTTTCCACTAACTTTTTACCAATGTAATTACTTTTTTTATCTTTAAATAATTATCAAAAAATTATATTAGTTTACTTTCAAGTATTACAGCTTTTTTTAACACAAATAAATTATTATTGTTAAATTTTAGTTTACAAAATTAATGTTTCATCATTAACGTTTAATTTTTAAACAATTTTATACATACAAAGTGCTTAGTAATAATATATACAATAACAATGATTTTATCATATATTTATCTATACACTTTTATATAGTACATATTCCTTTTATAAATTGTCTTTAACACCTTTGGACGTCAAAATTCCATTCAAATTGAAAATGAGACAATTTTCGCTCGCTGTTTGTTTTGCTATGACCATAAATAAAAGTCAATGTCAATCGATGTCAAAGGTTGATTTTTTTTACAAGAACCAATTTTCTCACATGGTCAGTTATATGTTGTTTTATCCAGAAAAATGAACATATAATGATTGAAGTTATTGATTTTAGATAAAAAAAAATTGTAATTTAACCAATAAAACGTCAAATAATAAAACGTCAAATGATATATACAAAGAAGTGTTTTAAAATGTAATTTAAAAGATTTTCTTTTTACTTATCAAATTCATCCGACTTTACTTACAATCTGAAATACATTACTTTTTACTATGTTGACATTTAATCTTATTTTTGTCTATATAATAAAAAATTTGAACATACCTACCGTGGTTTCTACGGGTTATAACCTAATCGTTAATATACTTTACGCCTATATCCATTTTCCTTCTCTCTCATAAATTAACGAGCTTATAAATCCAATTTTTGTCTTTCGAGTCTAATCTCCTATAAATCTCTTCACATAAACAAAAGTCTCACACAAAACAAACCTATATTGAAACACAAACTAAAGATCAGACGTGGCAGCCCATGGTTTGATATTTCGTAATTGATGGAAGTAAATGCGAAAAAAAAAACATGAGTGAAAATAATGTTGGTCAATTTCTCATTTAATACCTGGAACGAACCCCTTCATTATTTCGCAATCAAAGTCATTTTCCAACACTAACTGTTTCATCATTTTAAGATAATACATTTATTTTTTGGGTGGGGGATGTGCGACGACATTAATACACGTGTCGACATTGTATTCAATCAATATAATATAAGTTCTTTGTAAATGTCTCTATGGCATGATTATAGTTTTATACAAGTATCTGATGATCATTGTTCAAGTAAATTTAAAAAGATTGATATTTTTTTCGAAAGAGTTAAAAGGGTTGAAATTATTATCACATATATTAAAATATGATTTGCAAAAAAATAATTAGTAGTGCTCAACTATTTATATACAATACTTTTTATATAAACGGGAAATATCTTTAACAATTTTTGGTGAGTCAATGTTAAAGTCTAATTTTTAATATTGTTGTATAAAATAAAAAAATTGACAATTGTTAGGCCAAAGTGTATATAAACCACGAGACAGACTCGTGGCCAGGTGGAGGTTGCACCACGATCGTGTAAACTCTGTGTCACAGCCGTGGTGGTTCGTGGAAAGTAGCACGGATGGGCACACACCAATTAGAAAGTTTCTATCTCTCTTCCTATTCTTCTTTCTCTTTTCTTTATCTCTTCTACGATCATGATTCATGGCTATGTATGAAGTATTGTACTTAATCATCCATTGATTAGTGGTGGTTTTGGTTGAGCAGGAAGAAACTCAAAGCCCATTGGCATGGGTTGAATACCCCATGGCCTTAGCCTCTTTCTTACTCCAACACTTTATTCATGGAAAAAGTTATAATATAATATTGTTTTATTTCTTTCACAAAGGCATGATGTTATGAGAAAATGACTATAATGATCATTTTTCAAGGTTTTTTTTTTCATAAAATAATTATATATAAGAAAAATGACTATAATAGCTACAATTTTTGTAGACCACCATCTCCTAAAATTTACATGGTCTATTATTTTTCTGAAATCTTTACACGTCACCATATGTGAAAATCTAGGTAGCTTATCATTTTTCTCAGTTTTTTTTTAAAAACTTTTATTTTATTTTTATAAGTCAACAATTGTGAAAATCTATGTGGCATTTTTAATTTTTTTTTTTCAGGCCATCCTTGTGATTGGGAGAACACAAATAATCTGATGATATTTATAATGTTCGTATGCGAAAGTTATGAAGTTTTTTTTTTTCACAATTTTCACAGAATAACTTACTTTGGAGTTGAAAAAGTATGATTTTATGACATCTGAATTGGGAGTGAATAATGTAGATTGATAGACTTGTTACAAATAATACAATGAAAAAAAATCAACTCAAACGAAGTTCGTATGCAAAATTTATGAATGATCAAAGTTAGGTTGGTTTTTCATATTTTTAACTGAATAACTTAATTTGAAGCTAAAAAAATATGACTTTCCAACATTCAAATTTGGAGTATAATATGTCCATGAAAATTTATTGTTATAAAGAGCACAATAGAAAAAAAAACATCTCAAACGGAATTCATACGATGAAGTTGTGAATTGACAAAAAAAATAATTTTCACACACCTGCAAATAATCTAGATTTTTGCAAACGGCACCCTTGCAAAAATCATGATTATCTTTTACATTCTTTAAAATTTTAGTTATTTTATAGTAAATCCTTGAAAACAATGACTATTATGATCATTTCCTTTCTCTATATCATATGATTTAAAAAGGGTTTTGATTTTGTTTTCCACAAAGGCTAGGAGTTTTTTAAATGGATCAAATTGGTATTAGAAGCTGGGTTCAGTCTGTCATGACTATTTGGGCTTATATTGTACGCGGGGACGGTTTAATTAAGGGTTGATTGATGCTTTGTGTTTATTTCAGGGTTAAAAATAATTACAAGGGGTGTTTTTGTAAATTTATTAAAAGCTAATATGCATCAATAGATGTGTGATACATTTATTCATGAACATGTCGAATCCTTCTTTTAAGATTTTAATTCCAATACTCGTATGTAACGTTTTCCATTTATAAGGATAAATGTAATCACAAAAATATCACATGATTGTTTCGAATATAAGCAAATGACCTTAACTTTTAGGGATTGACCAAATTGACGATTTCCAAAAAATTGCATTTCTAAGTAAATCAGTTGTACTATCATTAATTATGTGTACATGCGATAAAACATTCTAAAATAATGTATTTTAGACTAGTCGTATATTTGAAATGTATTTTCATCTGATTCAATGTATATTTTATAATTGCTTTATGTGATATGTCATTGTCTTCAATCTGAATTTCAGACTTCATATATCTTGAACATCAAACACTTGTTTTGGTCATATTAAAATTAGTATTTGTATGCTTTTTGATGTTAATATTTCAACAAATTTTCTCAAACACCACCAATACACAACTTTTTTGTTAGAATTGACTTCAACTGAATCCAAAAAAGAAGGTTTTTACATACTCCCTTATGTATCCTAAAAAATATGGAAAAAGTGAATCTCTCAACATTAACCGACATTAAAATGGATGATTGTGATCTGTTTGTGTTCTTTGTCGACATCAGTTGCATGGTCAAATGTATTTTGAATATAACACTAGTTTGCAGTTTTATTTTCATTAAATGTTATGATCAATGGTCCAATAATTTGTAGACGTAGATGTTTCTACTTTCTAAACAGGTTGCAACTTGTTATTACAACAAACGGTGCCCCACTCAAAGATAAATACTGTAATAAAAAACAACGAAAACAAAAAAATCATTATAAAAACAATCTGTTTTATATTAATGTTATTACGTGAACTGATATTTATGATCTTGATATACACAATTATGTCTCAAACGACAATTTGTTGGGGATTGATATTTAAACCAATCTCTAAATATTATTAAAAGAGAACCTTAAAATCTCCACTTAAGAAATCAGGGCATTCATTGCATTTCAATCCTATATTCTACACCCTTAGATCATTTGCTGACATCATCCTTACACCCAAAACCCCGTTGTGTAATGTTGCCTTCCGTTCGTCATTTACTCTCTGTCTCTTCTTCCTATCTAACGTTAAGAAACAGGTAAACCATTCGCTTCTACTTCTTTGTCTAAATCTTATAGACCGATCACTCCATTTCGTCCTCCAATGTGGAAGAACTGGAACTTGCAGATACCCAATTCAGGGGTTTCGAAGAATCGTGTTCAATCCGTTCAAGCATCCGCGACTTCATTTGGGTAAGTTATCTTCAATTGGTCTGCGAATTTCTCGGAATTTAATCGATTCGAACTCTATCATTGGCATTTCTTGTAATTTTGACATAGATTTTTTAGGGTTCTTTCCAATCCCACCTTGATCACATTCCAATGCGTTTTCTTTTTAGGTATAACCTGCACTGTTCAACTTACTTTCTTTCCCTACCCTCAGAAGTTGTTGCAGTTTCCAAAGGCTTTGGGGTGTAACAGCCCTTCGAATTAAAGCTTCTTCACCTTTTGTGAAGGCCTTCAGACATGGGTTGTAAGGAAAATCAAGAGACAAGCATTCGGGGTCGTTATCAAGCAGTACCTTGGACATGGTATCGAAAGTGAACCTCTGAAATATATCTTGCAAATCCACCTCGGTATGATGTTCAGAAATGGATTCAAGTATCGGTAGAAGCCCGTTTTCCACTTTACTCTATACAACTGTTTCTAGCATATCCTGAAAACAGGGTATGTGGAGAATGACTCACTTGCAAACATCATCAACCCAAATAATTTTGGGCCATTACCTGAACCATTGGTGGCCTTTTATGTAGCACCAGTAGATTTGTTACAAACATTAAATATCTTGACCTTCACCAAATCTTGTATACTGACAAATATTGAGCATTGAAAATATGGACACGTCTTGGAAGGTTTGGTTTATTTACATGAACAAGGGGTTATTCATCGGGATATTAAGGGTGCAAATATTTTGACTACTAAAGAGGTAAAGTATTACTATTACATTTCCTGAAATATGAAATTTATGATTCCTTTTTCCAGGGTGTTGTTAAATTGATGGATTTTGGGGTTGCCATGAAGCTAACAGAGGCACATGTTGATATGCATTTTGTTGTTGGCTCACCTTACTGGATGGCTCCCGAGGTTTTTTATTTTTTATTTTTATATATCATGTCATATAATTTTAATTTTTTTATTTTTTTTTCAGTTGATAGAAATGACAGGTGTCTGTAGTGCATCTGATATATGGAGTGTTGGTGACAAACAATACTATAAAGAAAGTTAATTTTTGCCTGGCTACAGATAGTCATCTGAACCTCCTTTTACTGATTATGTTTCTACTCGCTGGTGAGTACTTAATTTTTTTTTTCCTAAGAAATTTTTTTTAATAATAATTTTTAATATAAAGTTATGTGAAAAAGGTATCGAGCACCAAAAGTCCTGTTGCAATCTTCTTCATACACTCCTGCCATAGGTAGTATTATGTCTTTCTTCTATGAACACACTGGATTATGGCATATCTATGGGACATTATCAATGAACTTCTTATTTTGGAGTACTGTTTATCACAGTAGGTAAGTAATATCCTTTCAAACTTCAATTCTCCTCCTGACTTTCATCCCTGCCACATCTTCAAAGATTACCCTTTTGCACATTTATCTCATACAACTGAATCTGAGTAAATAACAATTTTACCCTTATATTTAGAAACGATAAAGCACCATCTTTCCCACTTAACATATTAAAAGAAACAACGTAAGTTTTCTTGTTGAAATGTCAGATGACCATTTTACCCTTCAGGGATGTGGAAATGACAGAGAAGCTAGATTACTCATCTTTAGCAGCAGTTATTGGATTTTCTCTAATAGTATCAATACTAAGAGCTTTCATTATAAAAAGTGAAGCTACACGTGTCATGGTTGCAGCTCCTTTAATCGCCTTTGTAACTACCCACATCTTTTATTTAAACTGCTACCAATTTGACTTCTCAGGTGATAATGCTCGAGCGGTTGTATCCTTTATGTTCTTAATTGCTTGTTAATTCATTATGATGATAATTTTATTGCTAATATCTTATTCAGATCATGGTTATAGTTCTGGTACCTTTTTCAGTTTTGAAGATGATCCTTAGGTACAACAACTGCTTATTTGATAATCTCAGATAATTATAGTGATTCATTTTACAAATGTGTAAGTTTGCCCTTTTTGCTTTTTGACTACGTTTACACCCTTTAAATATGATATTATGTATTTATGTTATATTCAAAGTATTAATAACATGTGATGTCTTTGACTAATTAACATTAAATGGGATTGGTTTATAGATATGTGGGCAGTTGGTGCAATACTTGCTGAACTTTTCACTTTGTGCCCGATGTTTCCAGGGGAAAGGTTGCTTTTTATATGAACTTTTCACTTTTTTTTAAGAAACCTTTTATTATATGTACACAATGTTTTTTTTTCACATAACAAAAGATGAAGTTATTAAAGGCGATGAGAGATATTTGGTTTTATGATTGGACAGTGAAATAGATCAGTTGTACAAGATATGTTGTGTTCTTGGCACACCTGATTGGACCCTTTTTCCGGATGCAAGGAATGTTGCTTGGTTAATGGATATCAATTATTCAATGGTTAGTCTGATTTTAATATTTTTGTAATTGCGGATAAGGAGGAGGGTATTTATGTCTTTTCCCTTTGTAGATTATGCCTGCAAATCTTGCTGACCTTATCCCAAATGCAAGCTCGGAAGCTATTAATTTGATCAAGGTAAGTATAATTTTAAGGTTTTTTTTGTGATGTAAAAATTATGCTCGTGGGACCCACTAAGGAGGCCGACAACAGAGCAGTGCTTACAACATCCGTTTTTCTATGTAATGCTTTTTTGTTCATATTATTCAAGACCATTATATTTTACCATTATATTTGATATGGTATATTGATATATTTTCGATATCATACCATATTTATTAAAATATTATATATTTATTATATTTTTTTCTTATTCTACAAGCTTTTCAAATTTACAGTTTTTTATATGGTAATTATTATCTTAAATTAGGTATGATTTTATCTATTTTTGTACTTATATTTGACATGGTATATTGATATTATTTTGGATATCATACCATACATAAAACATATTCTAAGTATGGAAATGATATTACATTCCAAAATCTTTATGTCATATCAGCATTAACCAAATTTATATTTCCCTATAAATATAATGTCTACGATTTTTCATTTCAAATCAAAATTCTCTCTAACTAATTATCTCCTTTCATTGCAGCTAATAGTATTCCATGGCAGCTAACAATGCATATCAGGTCGTCTTTGATAAGGTTGCTGAAATCAATGCATCCAAAGAGTCTTGGAACATACGTGTTAAAGTCGTCATGCTTTGGAAGCCGACTTATAAAAACAATCCTAATATGGTCACAAGCCTAGACATGATTTTAATTAACCAGGAGGTACTGTTTTTACACACTTTATTTTTTAGATTGTCAAATTCTTATGTCAATTTTAAATTCGATTTCTGTTATGCTTTTTTCTTTCCTGGCAGAAAAATATGGATGTTTATCGATTTCAGTTCTTCTCTTTTATTTCTATGTTATTAAATTTGTTGATACTTTATCTTTAAATTTTATTTCTATTTTATTAAATTTTAATTAACAGTATCATATTTTTGTATTTTTAATACTTTTTTTACACTTTTTTATCTTTCATTGTCACCTACAGGGAAGTAGAATACAAGCAACAATAAAAAAAAATCTTATTCCTGTATTTGAATCCCTATTCGATGAAGGAGCTGTCCGGGAGATCAGTAACTTCGCTATGGCTAGCAATGAAGACGAATACATGCTTGTTCCTCATAAACATAAAATCAATTTCTACAAAACCACAAAAGTTCGTGTATCCACTGATTTTGTTGATACAGTAGATCCTTATCATTTTATCTCTTTCCCAGATTTGCTAGCCAGGAACTTTGACACTCGTGTTGCATTTGGTATGTTGTTATGTTATTAGTTTAACTTATTTCTATACTTCAATTTTTAATGTAATACACATTTGGATTATTATTACTAATTTATTACATTTTGTCACATAGATTTTCTTGGTGAAGTTGTGTCAACTGATCCCATGCGAGTCATTGTTGAGTATGGAAAAGAGAAAAGGTTAATGAATCTGGTTGCTCAGGATTTAAGGTACACATTCGTATTATTATTACACATTCCCCCGTTTATATTTATCTTTCATTAATAACCACCATGCATTTTTAGTGGTACGAAAATTGCAGTCGCTTTGTGGAACAGTTTTGCACTAAAGCTGAATACTTACATTTCACAACATGATAATGACACTGCTCCTGTTATTATCCTGCTATGTTTGGCCAAACTCAAAATTTGGGGTGGTAAGGATTTTTTTCAACAAATTATCATTTCAACTTCAAAGTAATTACTGACAATATTATTTTACTTTTTATTTGCAGGTCAACCTCAAGTTGGTAATTGTTTGTTTGGGTCTAGATTGCATATAAATGATGATATGCCTCAGATTTTAGAGTTCAAATCAAAGTATGTTATTTACCATAGTTAACACATTTATATGGTAAATCATTACTTTTGTTGAATAACCTCGCTTTTTTGTATATGTAGTCTTAATGCTTTGGATACGAATGTTGAGTCTTCTAGCCGTACATCCCAGCTCAACTCAGATACTGTTGTCGCTAATCCAGAGGATTACTACCTCCGTTTTCAAATAAAAAACATTGATGAGATTCCTGATTTTAATGAGGTTTACTTAACATTTTTATATAACAGTTTCCGCATTCTATTATTGTTTTGATTTTCTATGTACAATTCATATGAAATAATATTGTAATATGATTCCTTTCAATCCTATATATGAAACAGGAAGTTGGTTTAACCATCATCGCTACTATCATTGGTTTTGATATGGATGATGGTTGGTATTCATTTTATTGTCGTGATTGTTCTAAAAAAGTTACTAAAAATGATGATGATGTTGATGCTGGCCGTTTTCACTGTGATGGTTGTGGATTTGTCTCGGATGTAGTTGGAAAGTAAGTAATTATTATCTCTTTGACTATGCATGTATTTTACTTTTTTCATATATTTATTTGTGTATGTCAAGCTAAATATACGTATTATGTTATAACTTTTAGGATTAGGATAGTAGTTCGTGTGCAAGATGAAAGTGGGTCTTCTTCGTTCGTATTGTTTGAGCGTCATGTAAAAGATCTTATTCATCGTGGAAACCAATGGTTGATGGAAAAAATAGCTAAGGTTTGATAAAATATCTCCATTATTTACATTATTGACATATATGATTTTTCTTCTTTAACTTTTCCAACCATTTTATAATGTAAATTAGGATCAAGGGCGACAACAGATACCTGATGAGTTCAAAATCCTTCTAAATAAGAAGTTTGTCTTCAAAGTTCAGATATCCATGTTCAATCTGCAGAACAACTATCGTGCTTACACTGTGCATAAGTTGACTGATGATGAAAGGGTTCTTGCTGAGGTTTTTAAACGGTCACCAAATCATGAACACCATAATATAAATGATAATGATACTCCTATTAACAAACCAAATAAGGTTGGTAACTGTCTCATATATTTCCAAACTCAAACCCTATGCCCTCTCTTCAATATATTTTTCTTTCATTTTTCATGAATTTGTGCAAATATGTTACGTTTTGTTTTATATTTTACTTGATCGATTTTTATTATTTTCTGTTTTCTACAGGAAAATACTAATTCTGTGCATGATGACAATCTTGATGTTGTTGACCTTGAAGCTGTAACACCATCATCCAGTATGGGGAAGCGCCCTATTGAGATTGATGCCAACACCGACTGTTTGGAGTGATCTTCTTAAAAAACTGGTGTTGTACGGGATACCTTGAAGATCCCAAAGTTGGAAAAGTTGGACTAATATGAAGCTGCCCAACAAAATTTTACATATCATCTTCAATATGTTTAGAGACATTTTCTTTTTAATCTTTTGTGTGTCGCACTTTTAATTGTCTGTTTATGGATCTTTTGGTAGTTTTTAAAATTTTATTGGGTTGTTATTTGGTGTGAACACGATGATAGAATTGAAAGTTATGACAATTTCAAGTTATTGAACTGTTTTGATTTAATGCATATTTTGTTTCTTTTTCTTTCGTTCATCATTTGATTTTATATATATATATATATATATATATATATATATATATATATATATATATATAAACGAAAATTAATAATTTTTTTATATATGCTAATTCACCTATTTTTATTTGTCTAAATGAAATTTAAATTTTATTTGCATAAATATACATCCTTTACATATGGTAACAGAATAAAATCATAGTGTAAGTATTCAAAATGTATTTTTCTATATTTTATTTATTCCTACCATAATTATATGCATGCTTTACTTTTTACCTAATTTAAACCCTTCTAATATTCAGTTCCCTAATTAAAAGAGTTAGAATATATATATATATATATATATATATATATATATATATATATATATATATATATATACACACATAAAAATTTATATTTTTATTATATATGATATTTCACCTACTTTTATTTGTCAATGTCAAATTTAAATTTTATTTGCATAAATATACATCGTTTGCATATGGTAACAGAATAAAATCATGGAATATGCATTCAAAATCTATTTTTCTATACTGCATTTATTCCCTCCATAATTATACGAAGACTTTATTTTTTACCTAATTTAAACCCAACTAATATTTCATTACTTTATTTAATTATATGCAAAATTTATTTTTTACCTAATTTAAACCCTTCAAATATCCACTTCGTTATTTAAATTGTTAAAAATCATCATCATCACTATATATATAGAGATATAACCAAGAACGTAAAACTTATCAAACATATTGAAATGAGTGACATTTCAAATGCTTCGGGAAAGAAAAAACCTACAAGGTTTGTTACTAATGTTTCACCCAGCAAAACATCCCCAACAACACCACTGTCTGACATCACAAATGGTAAGATTCATATTTAAGCATTCTGTTTATATTTGAAGTGCTTAAATGTTTATAATGTTCAATTTGTATAACTCATTTCTCTTTATATTTCATTTTGAGTTTTTGATATACATACCATTGTTCCTTAGTGAATGCACCATCTTCATCCAACGCTCTAAAAACATCATCACATTCAACATTACAAACAATATCTCACAAAGGTACAGTTTCTTATATGTTATGCATCTTTCTTATTACACTTTCGTTTTTATATTTGCTTATCTATTGTACTATTAATAATTTTTAATATTTCTCCCCCGTTTATGATACGAATCTTCATTTCAGAAAATAATTTTTTCATACCACCAAATTGTCGAGTTACTCGAAACCTTTCCGAATTACCTAAGGCAACCCCGTCTCATAACATCATACAACCGAATGTTCAATCCACATTTATTTCCTCAAGATCACCACTTTCACAGCTAACCAATCAAGGTAAAGTATTCTTAATTTCTTTTATATTATATTTACATCCACTTCTTAAATCATATAACGTCAATTTTAACTTCCCAATATATAAACTTTTAACATTTAATTTTTAATACATATATGTCTATATTATCTAATTTCTATAGCTACTTTTTTCCTTTAATATCTTATTTAATTTAATGTTTTATATATACTTTTCCTCTTTAGTTCATTCACCCTCTTTAGTTCATTCACCCTTTTCCTCCTTTAATATCTTATTTAAGTAGATGTTAGTAACTACAATGAAGGTGCACATGAATGATGGGATTATAGAAACAGTACCCTATATTTCTTTAAAGGAAATACGATTGAGTATGGTTCCGGCACATCCTTCTCAACAAGTTTTTTAAATCCGTTCTGATTTTGATAAAGTGACTATGCCAAGTAGATATTAGTGATTATATATATATTTTAATTTGCATTCGAACATAGTTGTTTTTTGTAATGAACTATTTAAATATTTTATATTACTCTATGATTTATTAGTTTTTTTTTATTTATTATTTTAATTTTTATGAGGTTAAAATAGCTATTGTAATGTATGATAATGAATTTAAAATAGCTATGGTAATATACTTTTAATTGTCATGCTTCCTATGATGTAATATATGTTTACAATTCTATGTTTTTTATACGCTCCTCGCGTTTAACGCGGGTTATAATCTAGTTTACTAATAAAAAACAACAATGAAAGAAAAAAATCACTATTTTAAATTTTAATCCCTAAAAAGACTGGTTATAAAAAATAAACAACTTCTGATCCACAAAAACAAAAACAGACAACCGGTAGACTTTCAACTGATCCACATTAAGCTCTTATTTTTCTTCTTATCCTTAAGGCTTTCATGTATACACACCACGAGAAGGCTTGTGGTGTGTATACACTTCATCATCTTCTTATTCCACCATTTTTCCACTCTCAATCTGGTATACTCACAAAAAAGAATGTGTTCGTGGTGGCTTTAAGCTACAAGAGAGAACAAGAGAGGAAGAAAGAAGAAAGAGGCTCTGGTGGGCAACACGAGAAACCATGCTAGTGGTTCTAGATCAGCACCACGAGAGGATCGTGATGGTGTGCACAGACAACGACCGTGACCACCTAGACCACGAAGGGCTTCGTGATACCCATTGCAAAAGGCCTAAGTTGACACATAGAGAGAGTGAGTGAGTTGGACGGCGCCTCATATGCATGATAGTAGGATCTAAGGATTTTTTTAGTTTCTTTCAAAGACATATTAAGGATTTAATTAAATAACTTTTATTTAATTAACAAATAAACCAATTATATAACTTGTTTGATTGATAAATAATAAATAATCATGTATTTAGTTATTTTTATAAGGTGATAAATAATAAATCGATCTTCTACAAATATTAGTATCCATATATTGTCATTAATGTTTTTTATCATGCGATCTCATATATTTATATACAAATAACAACAATATTATTTTGTTGTTCCTTGCACATTGATTCTAAAGAACTCCCACTTATATAAGGAACAATAATTGTCTACAACACAAACAATGGTAAACGTCTATCAAGATGTCACTATCCTTAAACATATGTAAAACTTTTTATCCCACGAAAAATCCAATAATTTCTTAATGGAAAATGATTCTCGTCAAATATCCATGTGTTCTTATATCTATGTACATAGTCCACAGATTGAATAGTTCTCTAATGTTCATAAACTGTTTACCTGATTTGTAAATGAAGGAGATCAACATAATCATCTCGATGATGCTACACACTCATACCCACTTAATTCATCAAGGGCGCAAACCAATATCAAACTCTAAATATTTTATGAGCAAATTTGATACGGCCATATTGCATTACATGTGTTCCTAACGATTTCAATGTCATGTCTGATTGCAACCTTTTATATATGTCATGTTTCATATTATCATTTGACATACACCAAGATATGACAGTAATCCTATCCATAAGCTTATATATGCATCGGTTTAAAGGATATAGAGACTTAAAATCATTTTATAGATTCACCTAATGACTTTGATCCATGAAATGACATTTTGAGGTGGGTCTTTCCAATATTCACAAACAATTAATACACATGAATTTTGGATCTTCTTTAAATATATATTGATCTAAAAAATGTCACCAATATTTCACATTATCTATGCTTTGTAACCAATCCTATGACTGCAATCGATTATGGAAGTTTAGAAACAATTATTAGCTCTTTTATAGATGAAACATTCAAATTAAGATCATAATGAAGTGAGTAAAAATATTATACTCTGCTCATTAACTCATACTAAAAACATTGATGATTGTGCCTAAAATGTCCAAATACAAAAATTATCTAACATATGACATCAATTACTCAAGTGATTAGCCCTAGTGCAAAGAATATTCTCATATGTGAAAAATGCATATGGTCTCATACAATGTACAAATGATTTTATCTAAGGTTAACTTTTCAGGAACTTCTAGGTTCACTTAGTCTGATTCATCATGAATCCCAAAATGAAAAAGTATTCCCTTTGTTCATAAGTAATTCCTCATATGAAAGTATTTCAAGAAAACACAAGGATTTTCTAAGATATCTCGAAGTATATTAAATGTTTTTCAAGACAAACTATATTCTTATAACATCGATGCATCCTTTTCACATGGTTTCTAAAAATTATGGATAAAAGTGATATATTCAATCTTCGTTTTTCAGATCGTCCAAGTAGAGTGTCTCTACAACCAGAGATATATGGATTTTTCATTACTGGTTAGGAATTAGGGGATCATATTGATTCCGCTAACTGTTATAAAGTTGTATTAGATCCTAAATGTGATAAATAGGTTGAAGCCATGAATGTTGATATGTAGTTTATAAAGGAAAATCATGTTTGGAAATTGATTGAATATCCACCCGACATTAAGAATGTTTGGTGTAAATGGATCTTCAAAAATAAAATTTATATGGATGGGAAAGAAAACACATTTAAAGTCTAACTTGTGGTTAAGGGCTATACACATACTCATGGTATATACTATAAGGAAACCTTCTCCCTATTAATTAGGATTTTGATTGACATAGCCTCATATACCAAACGGACCCTACCTTCAATATAATCCTAATATAATCCTACCTGGTTATTCCTTACTTGATAGATCTTGATGTAGACATTAATATTATTAATGAATCTATATTGTAATTATTATAGTCGCTAGGATTATAAATGTAGACTAAGGCTTAGTGCTTTATACGTCTATGTCTCTTTTGAAGTGCGAAGCGAAGTGCTGTCGAAGTCATCAGTCACCCACTTTATCAAGTGAGTGCATAGTCACTCTCATGAACACGATTTAATACAAATATTAGTTAAAGTATTAAATATTTGTTGGAAGTTGTATATGAACTATATGCTTATTTCCTGGATTATATGTTATGATATATATATATATATATATATATATATATATATATATTCAGTGCTATGTGCGAACCAGATATAGTTCTATTTTATGTTAAGATAAATAGATAATAATATATAATAATATTGGAAGTAGCATTGTTGAGAAGACAACGGATAATAAAGCCTAATGTGGAATATATATACATTAAATATATGTTAGTGTCACCCAAGAATAAGAGT